ACTTTGATAAATAATTCACTTATTTTGAGCAACCACTGACAATTGATAATAAAAACGCTGATGCTTTGACTTATGTCTGCTGCAAGACACATGAGTGCCTCTAGACCTACTGTGGATTTGTATTGATATCTCTTTGTATAAATGTCCTGCCCATTTACCTTGCAAATAGCTTGTGCAGCTTGGGGCTTATATTTTTTATTTGGGGATGCATAAGGCTTTTGACTTAGGACCCATTCAAACCACATCCAGATTACCTCCAGACCAGACCAGACCGTTTCCTGACCACAAATGTATCCCAATGTATCCCTATGCTATTTCTGGCCTCTGTTCCCACCAGCACAGTCCGTTCCAGACCAGACAAGACCAGAAAAATACTGCTTGTCCTATTTTCTCTGGTCTGGAATGCGCTGGAACGCATTAAAACACATAAAAACGCATGGAACGCACCTGTAAGACCATTTTGTTTTTTATAAAAACAAAATCCAATTGCTGCAAAATCGCTGTAAAAATGCAGCAAAAACGCAATGCACTATGTTCCAGATCTGGTCCGGAAAATGGTGTGAACCCAGCCTTATAGCTCCTCTTTAACTGATCATTTTCATAGAAATGTATACATCAAACCAATGAAAAAAGAGGGACTTGGTTCCTTTCGGATGGACAGTTGGCAGCTCTCTTTCTCTCTATATACACACTGCCAGTCACACACTCTAATATTTAATTGGACCGCCTTTGGCTGTGATTACGGCACACATTTGCCGTGGCATTGTATGCAATGTCACAACATTTATTTCCATCCAGGGATCCAGGTCTTGTAGTGATGATGGGAGGGTCGTACCACTGCGTAAAGTCTTCTCCAGCACATCCACAAGATTCTCAATGGGGTTAAGGTCTGGACTCTGTGATGGCAAATCCATGTGTGACAATGATGTCTCATGCTCCCTGAACCACTCTTTCACAATTTGAGCCCGATGAATCCTGGCATTGTCATCTTGGAATATGCCCAATGTGCCATCAGGGAAGGAAAAAATCCATGGATGGAAACCTGGTCACTCAGTATATTCAGGTAGCAGCTGACCTTATTTTTTGGGCACATAACGTTGCTGAACCTAGACCTATTATCCAATGGAAGGATCTGATGTAGGCTTAGGTAAATCCAGGTGGTGACTTTTTTTGGACAGGCAGTGTATAAAAGGGGCACAAACTGATGGTGAAGCTAGACCTACAGTATTATACCATGGCAGGCTCTGATTTAGGCTTAGCTAAATCCAGGTGGTGGCCTCATTTTTTGGGCACATAACGTTTCTGAACCTGGACCGATTATCCAATGGAAGGGTCTGATTTAGGCTTAGCTAAATTTTTTGGGCACATAACGTTGCTGAACCTAGACCTATTATCCAATGGAAGGCTCTGATTTAGGCTTAGCTAAATCCATTTGGTGGCCTCATTTTTTGGGCACATACTATTTCTGAGCCTAGATCTATTATACTATGGAAGGCTCTGATGCAGGTTTAGCTAAATCCAGGTGGTGACTTTCTTTTTGGACAGGCAGTGTATAAGACAGCTGACCTCATTTTTGGGGACATAAGGTTGCTGATCCTAGATCTATTATCCAATGGAAGGCTCTGATGTAGGCTTAGCTAAATCCAGGTGGTGACTTTTATTTTTTAGGGGGCAGAATATTATAAGATTATCAGGACAGTGAAGTCTTTTTCGATAAGTTTGTAAATAATGATAACTCTGCAGCAATTTTTGGATAAGTTTGTAAATAAGGACAACTCTGCAGCAATAACAAATTGTGCAGAGAAGGTGATATTATGGGATGCCCTCTGCTATGAGCGCTGCCAGGCGTCCGCTGAGGACACAGCGAGCTCCGTACCGTCCTGCCTGCTGTCAGCGGCTCAGTGACCGCACACACTGGCAGAGCAATGAATGAATGCACTTCTCCTGCCCTGTCCCGCCCTGAGAGGGGGGTGTCCGGGCCGTGTAACCCCGCCTGGGTATCACCATCCAGGACCGGCCCTCTACTCCTCCCCCCTCCCCTCCGCTTGTTGCTTCCATCCCGGGATTCCTCCAGCTGAACTGACATTCGGAGTCTGACCCAGGCACTGCTCGGAGTGGGACACGCTGCGCTGCCACCGCCGCCGCCACTGCCGCTGTCACCCGCTAGAGGTCGCTGTGCTGCGTGCCACCTGCGGTCCCGATTTAAAGCCCAGTGCCCGGAGGAGGGAGAGCTCACCTCCGCTGCAGGTCCATAGCTGGCACTTAGAGTGGGCATCAGATACCTTGGCATCGACAATACCCGGCTTCCATCACCCCCCCTAATGCTGGTCCCTCTTTTTAAAAAGTCGGGATACCTGTAAGCAAGCTGCAAGAGGAGACTGGTGGCACCCCTGAGCACTTTACCCCCTCCCTGGGATCTGTACCCTAAGGAAGCAGGCACCACTGAGGAACTACAAAAATATCATATCATCACTGTTATTGGAGATCATTTCCCCCCCACAGATCCTCAGGATGACCCCTGAATACTTCTTGAGGTCCCTCTTGATGATCATATTAGCTGTGTTCTCTGCAAATGCTAGCAACTGGCTGTAAGTTTATTTCTAAGTTTATGTTACTTTTTATTTTAAGTTGTCTTTTATTCTTTGTTTTCTATTGTTCTCCTTGTGATCTCTAAAGCCCAGCGTGGGGTATATGATTTTATTGCCCTCTTTGAATGAGAATGGGCACAGAAGGTGTCTCTGTGCCTATCCGCATTATAGTGTATCCAAGTCCAATTTTATTTTTCATTTTGGATAGAGAAAAGTATAGTAAGGTCCACCAAGTTTTTGTGCTTTTTTTTTGCCCTCTGTGTCCCATTGGAGAGATTTCGCTTTACTTCCTGTCCTGTAGACCCAAAGCGATGGGAAACTTGTTTTTTATCGTCACCGGCACAAGTGAGTGAATGAGAAATTGTAGGGTTTCCCCTCCGTTCTTGCCCTGGGGGGAAAATCAGAATGTTAGATTTTTCTTCCATTTCAGTTCCGGTAACGGTGGTCACTTGGACAAAGCAAGAGTTGAACCTCATCTGGGGGTTCTAACACTTTACTGCTCTATCCAAAAAAGTTTTGACTTTTGATACAAATTCACATTGTATCAAAAGAAGATAAAAAGGAAAAAAAGCTTTAAAAATGCTATTCATTGATCACCCTGCAGGTGCCTTTGTACCATTGTACACTACCAATGGAATACAAAGAATCTCGGCAGGGGATCCTGCGCAGCAGAGCTGACGATCTAAAAAGCCATACTCTTATATAAAAAGCTGCTTTAGCATTTTATTTTGCATTTGCAGAAGGCTTAATAGTCATGATTTTGCTGGAGATGCCTTAGATTTGAACGATGATTGTAATGCAGTAGAAACGGTGCAACCGGAAGTCAACCTGCATCAGTTGCAGAGGTTTCATAATCTTCCGATTATCCTTTTTTCCAAGGAGCTGAAGCAATGCTTTACTTTCAAGAATTGGGAACGGGGCGGGGGTATTTGGTCATTTTGGTGGTGCTGGCCATTCTGTGGCCGTTACCAGCGTGCGTCGATCCACCATTTCAGATTAGGTTTGCCCATCTGTAACCAGATTTCGGAGATAGCACATGAAAGAAATGCTATGCATCCTGTTAACAAGGATTTCAATATAACATTATAACACAGGTCTGGACAAATCCCAGGAGCCAGGTCGCCAATGCTCCTTAAGAATTACAGCTGGCACCTAATTTTTGAGGTTTTCTCTAGTTGTTGCCAATGGAGCTGGCTCCTAAAAAATCCTGCTGGCTCCTGGATTGGACTGACTGGCTCCCGAATTCTATATTAATTTGTCTACCCCTGTAGGAATTGAATTTTTGGGGTGAGACATAGAGGTAAAGTCTATTGGCCAAGTTATATCTTCCCCATCTGGTAACTCGATTGATAAGGGTGTCTGCTGGGAGCACAGAGTTGGACGCCCCATGGGGTATACAACCGCACATGTCTACGTTCTAATCAGGGATAAGATAGATATCTGGCCGCAGGCTGTGCATGGCAAGCTTGCATGAAAGGCTGATATCTCAGTTTCCTGCCCGTGCAGACCAGTTAAATCGCTTACCAGTGTCTTACATCCCCTATCTGTGCATAAATTCCCAGGTCTGTCCCCCTTGCTGGGAGTCCTTATCACCCCCTGGAGAGGAATGGTGGTTAAAGACAAATTGGCCATCTGTACGGCCAATTGTTACGCTGCTTAAAGTGGCATTAAACTCATGAGATCTTAAAAATACATTCAAATACCTTAAGGCTCCATTCACACATGAGCCCTTTTATGCGCGTATTCGCGCTTACTAATACGCGTGGAAACGCGGTTAAAAAAAAAAGAATACACTGCAATGTGCATTGTTCAGACTATTGCGAAACCGCAAAACAATCCAAACTCGGTTTTATGGCAGATTCTGCGCATTTCAGCTATAGCAATAGCTGCAAACGTGCGGAATCCGCGCATATGTTACTGTTTGCGCGGTATTGTTCGGTTTTCCGTATGAAAACCGCAACTGCTATGTGTGAATGGAGCCTCACAATTAACAAAAATGTATCTTATTTGTATATCCCTCAGCTGTAGATTCTCAAATTATCTCTGACTTGGTGATGACACTGTCCTTCCTTCTGGAGTGTGGCTACTTTTGTTCTCCATGTTCCCTGTGTGTGTTGTTAAGTAGACACCTCTCCAAGCTCACTCCCATGATGGACTACAATCTCAATACAAATCAGTAAACTAAATGTGAGATTGTAGTCCATTACAGGAGTGAGCTTGGAGCGGTGACTACTTTACAACACACACAGGGAACATGGAGAACAAAAGTAGCCACACTCCAGAAGGAAGGACAGTGTCAGCACCAATTCAGAGATGATTTGAGGATCTACAGCCGAGTGATACACAAATAAGATACATTTTTGTTAATAGTGAAGGTAATGTATTTTTAGGATTTAACTCCTGAGTTTAGTGTCACTTGATTTCTATCTATAGCAAAACAGTGTACGACGTCTCCGGTCGTACTATAATAAACAAATTTTCTTCCTATGTAGATTGATGTTTAGGTCGTTTTAGGTCTAGACTTAAGGGAGCTTTACTGCCGAGAAGGCCCCAGGGAGACAAGTCTGGCGGCACCAAGGTCTTGGTCACCACCGGGTCGTCCATGCAGCTAGCTGCCCTTGTGTTGCTAGCGTTGAGTTCAGCTCTCCCCGGCCAGAGCTGTACAATGCGAAGCATGAGCACTTAGGAAACTGGAAGCGTGCTAAGATTATTTTTGTTGAAGTGTGGTAAACTGAATCCGCCAGCCCTGGAAAGAGATCCGCCGAGGACAGTGTGCAGCTCTGTTTACAATTAATCCCAATTTCCTATACAGAATATGCTGATGTTACATTCTGCTTTCTCCTGGCTTACTGTCCTCACATGCAAGCAAAGCAGCAGCAGCAACCGTCGCAGCAATGTGTTGTGTGTGTGAGAGAGTCATGGAACAGGTGTTTTATTACAAAGAGAGAGCATGTCCCTCCTCATACTATCTACCCCTCTGCTGCTTCCATGCCTCTGGCTCAGCCTTATCTGTGCTGCTGGAGCTTGTGCCTGGGAAGGCAGTCTGAGCAATTACTGCGACAGGGAACATTTATTTACCACTTAATGAATCTGTTCTATTAACACCACAAGTCAGTTCACTGGCTGGGGCTGTGATACGGTATTTCCTGCTCTACTACTGGCAGGCGAGGAAGGAGATGAATGCTGCTATGTGCTTAGAGCAAGCCCAGAGTCCTCAGACTTCTTTAGAGCTGAAGGAGAGTGTTCAAGTGACACTCCACAGTATGGGGGCAACTTATCCCAAATTATCATTAATACTTGAGTCTATCTATCTCTGCCTGCCAGTCCAACCCTATCTATCTATCTATCTATCTATCTATCTATCTATCTATCTATCTATCTATCTATCTATGCATTATCTATCTATATTATATATCTATCTCTCTGGTATCTATCTATCTATCTGGTATCTATATATCTATGCATTATCTATCTGTCTGTCTATCTATGCATTCTTTCTCTCTCTCTCTCTCTCTCTCTCTCTCTCTCGCCCGCTCTCTCTCTCTCGCTCTCTCTCATCTATCATTTGTCTTTCACTGTTGAATCTAACTTGATTTCTTAAGGGACCGTAACGATTTCTTAAGGGACCGTAATATACAGGGGTACAAGTACTCCTAGAATGAGATCCTAACAGGTTGGACTTGATGGACTAATGTCTTTATTCAACCTCAAATACTATGTAACTGCATTTTAATCCTTCTGTCTGTATTTATACACACATATTTGTTTACTTTAAACTAAATTTTTACAACTT